GGACTTCACCTCAGCCAGCGCAGTCCTGTCTCCTGTAGCAAAAAAAAAAATGTCGATGTAGACGAGGACGAAGAAGGGTGTGGGCCCAGAACGAATGAACAGCGACGGGTCAGCGAACGAAGGACGAAACTTAAGGGCAGCAAGAGTAGTGCGCTCACGGGGCGCCTGGCGGAGGCCGTAGACTGGTCGCCTTAGGCTCCACTGGGTCCTAGGCGGGAAAGTGCTAGTGAAGCTAGGAGGATGACACAACCAGATGTCCTCGTGCAGGATGCCCTGGAGAAAGGCGGTGGAGAAGTCGAGGGAGTGCAGCTCGTAGTCTCGCTGTGCTGCAACGTGAAGTAACACACGAGGAGTCGTCATCTTCGAGGTCGGAGCGAAGGTCTGGAAGAAGTCAACTCCCTCGCAGTGACTGAAGCCCCTAGCCACGTAGCGCGCCTTGAAGACAGGCGGCAATCCAGGCGGCCGCTTCACCTTGAAAATCCACATGCCATCGACTACGTTCGCCTTCTCTGACTCCATGGCCACTATCCACTAAGAAGCCTACTGCCCTGACACTGCCTCACGATACGTGCGAGGAGTCAGTATGTCAAGGGCGTCGGGGTCTCCCTCAGGAGCTAGCAGCATGGCACAGAGATGGGGAAAAGCGGCCGCCAAGACCTCCAGCTCAAACTGCCCGTCTTCTAGGACGTCACAGCCAAGGGCAGACTCACCCCCGGCGGACTGAGGACGCGCAGCTACCACACGGGTGGCGTAGTCAAGGCGACGGGTGGCGGCAAAGTCAACGACAGTGGCAGAAAGAGCCAAGATAGAGGACGGAGAGGCACGAGGGTCCGTGACTAGAGAGGTGAGAACACGAGTGACAACAGGACGGGGTGGCACGGTAGTAGTCAGTGATAGGGGTAGAGGTGGAGGCTGTAAGAGATGACTCATGAGGTGAAGGGAGAACAGACTGAGGTGGAGAACGACGAGGACTCGAACGAAGTAAGACAGTGCGGAGGTCGTCAAAAGGAGACAAGGGACATGCACGAGCGGGACAACACACTGTCCAGTCGTGTGGGACAACAAGAAAAGATTACTGTGACCGAGGAGGAGAGAAGACAGCCAGAGAAGAGTCCGGGGGGGGGGGGGGGGGGGGAGAACGTAGGACCGTCAGCAGGGGGAGACAGTGAGCGGTTTGGAGGAGAGGAAGGAACTCCAAGGGCTCGAAGGCCACCCGCAGGTGGAAACAACGGCTACAAGGGCGGCGGCTGCTGCGGCTGCAGCTGGTGCTGCTGCTGCTGCTGCGGCTGGTGCTGCTGCTGCTGCTGCTGCTCCTGCAGCTGCAGCTCCTGCTGCTGCCGCTCCAACCCCAGCCTCTCCTGCTTCAACCGCTTGCTGGCAAAGCTGACGAAGCCTCTGGAAACTCGTCGGATAGCGGTGGGGAGGTGAAGTAGGCGCCACAGTAGCAGTGGTCTCCAGCTCCATTATTTTCAGATTTAACACCTCCAGCTCCAAGACCCCCAAAACTAGTGTCCCCAGGACGAGCACCCCCAGAACTAACATCGCCAGTGCCAGCACCTTCAGCGCGAGTACCCCCAGAACGAGCACCTCCAGCGCCAGTAGCCTCAGCTCCAACTCCCTCAGAACTAGTATCTCCAGCGCCAACACCCTCAGCTCCAGCACCCTCAGAACTAGCATTCCCAGCATCCATGCCCCCAACACCAGCACCCCCAGAATTAGCACCCCCAGCGGCAGCACCTCCAGCTCCAGCACCCCTCAAAAGAGTACCAAAACGAGTACCTCCAATGGCAGCACCTCCAGCTCCAACACCCCCGGAGTCCACACTAACCTGTCGTGGAAGTGCCAAAGGCTGCTGAGGGGACTGTGAGGAGGACTGCGGGGAGGGAGACGCTACCTGACATGCGACCGAGGGTAGAGGGGTAGCGTAAGACACACCTGACGGGGCAGGACCAGGGGGGGGCGGGGGTACCGGAGGAGCGGGATCTGGAGGAGGAGAGGGGGCGAGGAAAAGGGGAGGGGGGGGAACCGGGAGACCTTTGACAGAGGTACCGGGTGTACTAGGACACGGACTCGCTATACCGGATGTCACGAGAGTCAAAGAACCGGTGGAGGGGTGGGTGGTAAAGGGTGTAGTCAGAGGAGTCCACCGTGAAACCAAGGAAGACACAGGGAATGGCGTGGATAAGCGCAAGGAATGCACGCCAGTGCAGGCGAAGGAGGGAGCGACGGAAAGACGTGTGGGAGACCCGAAACTAGACGATGGCTAGCCATGCTGTGGAGGCGTGGGAAGGACGGGTGACCAAGACGGTGGTGCCACAAGACTGTCGGGTGGGTGAGTGACCGACAGGAGCACGACGCAGCAACCTGACCGGACACAGCAACCTGACCGGACACAGCAACATGAGGGGACGCAGCTACCTGGGAGTGCTCTGTGTGTAGGACGTAGAGACCGGAGTGGGGCTCCCTAGTGAACGTGGATAGAACAACACCAGTGGCAGCGTCCGTGCAGACCGCAGTCCGCCCGCCTCCCAGAAGGTAACTGTAATCCATCTATCCTGGAGGTATCCAACACCCACCAAGTTCCGAGGGAACAAAGGGATGTTGAGACCTCTAAGGATACCGGAGGGGTCAACCGGGCACGGGAGAGTGGTTGAGCTGTGTGCAACTGCTGGTCTTGAAGTAGGATCAGCCAGGGCAGCCGGATTAGGAGTTAGAAGCGGTGCCAGAGTCGTGTGGTCACGGAAGAAGCACTGCGACGCGCCAGAGTCAAGCGTGAAGGACAGCGACGCCTCAGCCGTAGGTGCACTTGGGCTGGTAGCTACACAAGCACCTAGACTAGAGAGACAAAGATCTACACTAGCAATAGGCAAAGAACCTAAACTACGAACACGCGAGCAAACAGATCTAGCATCACTATTTTCAACATCGGCATACATCAGAGAAACAGAGTCTAAAGCATGAACCAACTCTGCCGCAGACAAGTCCCACAAAGCAAGTCCATGAGAGCGAGCAAGCGGGGCCCAGTTCGGGGCGGGGCCAAGGCCGAACTGTGCGAGGACGCAGTCTGTAAGCTGCACAAAGCACTGACCCGGAGCGTGGAAACGGCCACTGCGAAAACCTGCTCGACCTCTTGACTGAACCACGTACGGGCAGGGAGGCAGAGTGACACCACACGACGCCAAGCTGGGCAGACCACCGCCACGACCAGTGCTCCCTGGTCCACCAGGATCCCACTGCTGAGGCTGCTGCTGCACCCGCCGCTGAATCTGCTGCGACTGTCCCTGCTGCTGCGGCTGTTCTGACTGTCACTACTGCTGCTGGGACTGCTGCCGCCGCTGTGTTGTGTACCACGTGACCGCACCAGCACCCCCTCCCGTCGGGCCCGCAGGCGCAGGGCCGCTCCCAGTGTCGCCTCCACCAAACGCACTAGTGTCACCAGAGCCTCTGCCACTTCTGCCACCACCACCAGCGTCACCACCCTTCCCGCCTCTCTTACTTCTCTTACCCCTGGACCACCCACCCGCGGTGGATACGGCCGCAGTCTCTAAAGGAGAAAGAGACGCAGTAGAGGCAAGAGAAGCAGTGAAGGTGGGAAGTTGTGGGACAGTGCACCCCTGAAAGAGCAGGGGAACTACGGCGCCAGATGCGGAGGCAACGGAGCAGATATTGCTCTTGATGTCCTTGAGGGTGGTCTCAAGGACATCGATAGTGAGCTCACTAGGGTGCTTCCGAAGAAGCTCGTCACGGATAGGTGCAAGGCGGTCGGGAGGCTAGTGGCGATAAAGTGAATAGTGATCGCCATGGGCGGGGGGAGCAGTGCAAGCTGAGCCTCAGTACAAGCAGCACGGTAGCTAACGTCTAGCGAGCGCAGGTATGTGATAAGATCAGCCGCGCGGTCAAACGAGCCTAAGTCAGGAAAGAGAAATGGCAGAAAGAGGCGACCAAGAGAGGCGGATGTGGGAGTGGAATAACGTGTCTTAATGGCAGCGAGCAGGTCCTTGGCAAATCGACTTGAGAGAAGTGAGCCTCCTCAGTCTCGGGGAGAAGGCTAGAGAGAGCAATGCATGCCGCAGCGTCACTGTTATGCAATTAATAAAGGCAGCATTCGGATACGTAGGAATAAAGAACCCTGCTATAATTGTGTGATAGAGTAGTGTAGATAGGAGACCGTAACGAGGACAAGGGTGGTTAGGCAGGAACAAACCCGAGCTAAAACAGAGAGAAGCGGGAACCCTTGAGGAGTAGCAACGGTTGCAAGGGCAACGGTAAGTGCCAACACAATACTTAGCTGAGCAGAGAGTCACTAGCCAACTGCTTGCTTGTATGTTTTCCCAATTAACTAAAGACTCTACATCCTTCCAGCTAGGAAAGCCAGTTCAAGCAGCAGTCAGCCGAGCTAATTGACCCACGCTAAGGTACATTGCCCAGATCTGTCAGTGAGGAGACAGAGAGGAAGAGCCAGGCCCGGAGCAGACACAAGAGACCCCAGGGCAGGGATGCAAGAGAGAGACCAGGGCTAAAACAAGAGGCACAAGGCAAGGACAAGGCAGAGTAAGAAGACCAGAGCAGGAACGGGGGCTAAGAGGAGCTTATTTCCGACAGCTGCTGCTGCTACTGCGTACGCTGCTGCTGCTGCTACGCAGCTGCTCCCAACCGCGCTGCTGCTGCTCTTCTGCTGCGCCTGAGCTGCTACTACTCCTGAGCTGCTGCTGCCGCTCAAGCTACACTGCTGCTGCCGCTCGAGCTACACTACTGCTGCTGCTGCGCCTGAGCTGCTGCTGCCCCACACGCTGTTACGTTGTGCCCTGCCACGCCGCCCTGCCCGAGCCGCACCACTCTGCGCCGCCCTGCCTGAGCCGTGCTACCCTGCCCCTACTAAGTCGCGGTGCTGCTGTTGCTGCACTGCTGCTACTACTGCGGTGCTACTGCTACTATGGCTACAGTCTCAGTTCTTAGTTTCGACGTTGAAGGTCGCGCAATTACCTTTGACATTTGGCTAGATGACCTGTAGAGTGAGGCTAGGGATGGCATTCCACTATTCGCACATACCGACGGATCCCTCCCAGCCCCACCTGACACAGAGACAGCGAATCATTCAAAGTGGCTCATTCGTGACGCTACTGCTCGCCTTGCTGTCCGCAACCACCTTCCTGACGCTGAACGAGCGCATTTTAGCCACCAGAAAGCAGCCAAGGCCCTCTATGACGATGTAGTCGCTCGCTACTCCTCCCCAGGTACTGCTGCCCTAGGCCGTCTCATGCTGCCATACCTGCATCCCGAGCTAGCAGATTTCCACACTGTCTTTGACCTCGTTATCCACCTCCGCTCTAGTGAGGCTTGCTACCGCACCGCTCTCAAGCCGAACTTTCTCGCTGCGAACCCTATTTATCACATGTATATCACCCTGTACTTCCTAGTCACTCATCTCCCTGACTCCCTTCGCATTATCAGAGACCAGTTCTTAGCCCTTGACCCCACTGAGCTCACGCTTGACTCGCTCGAGAAGTCCCTTCTCGAGGCTGAGAAGAGCACTGTCGCTGTCGCTGCCTCTCGAGGCACTCCCTGCTCCCCCTTCTTTGTAGGGTGTGCTCCCTCCCCTCTCCTCCCCTCAGTTGCTACTACTGCTACTGTCGACCTCCTTGGTGCTGCGGAATTTGGCGCTGCGTCTACTCCTAGTAGGAGGCGCAACAACAGCAAGGGCAAAGGGGGCAAGGGTGGTGGGGGTGGCACCAGCGGTGGAGGTGGCGGGGGTGGTGGTGGCGGGGGTGGAGGTGGTGGGGGTGGCTCTGGGGGTGGAGGTAGTGGAGACGGACGGGGTGGTCGAGGTGGCGGGGTTGGTGGAGGCGGCTGGGGTGGTGGAGGCAGTGGGGGTGGTAGAGGAGGTCGGGGTGGAGCTGGCAAGGGTGGAGGCCGTGGCGCTTCCCCACGTGGCGGTAAAGGCTTTGGGAGTGGACAGCAGCTGCCGCGCCTTCTGGACAACCCCACCCCTCAGCAGGTTTGTGAGTGGGTTTTCCAGCATGGTTCCTCTGGGGGCTCTGGTCGCTGCCTGTACGTCAGGCGCACAGGGAAGCTGAAGGGTCAGACCTACGGGAAGACGCACATTGAGTATTGCTGCTTCGGCCGTCTTGAGGATGCCTGGGTGGATGAGTACGGTGATGAGCTGCTAGCCCCCAACTGTCTGAAACTGCAGGGGTTGGGAGTAGATGTTTATGCTCTTGACTTTGTTCAGATCAACAAGGCTATCTATGCCATGTATGTGACTGAGCTTAGTGATGAGGGTGCGTATTACTCGTGTAATCCTGGTGATGCTGGTGTCACTGCTGTAGCTCTAGGTGCTAGTGCATATGCTGTCACAGGTGCTAGTGCGTTTGCTGTCACAAGTGCTAGTGAGTTTGCTGCTAGTGAGTCTGCTGCCTCCGCTGAGGTATTGACACATTCACACTTGACTCAGGCGCGTCTCATTGCTTCTTTCGTGACTGCACCACACTCACACCACTAGCTCCACCGGTACCAGTCTCACTGGCTGACCCCACTGGGGGCCCGGTAGTCGCAAGAGCCTCCACTGTCCTCCCGTGTCCAGCAGTCCCCTCCGGTGCTCTGTCAGGTATCCACCTCCCCACGTTCTCGACGAACTTGGTGAGCAACGCTGCCATTCAGGATGCTTGGGTTGATACCTCTACTCCTAGAGGGCAGCGTGTGGCGATCTGTACGTGCTCCAGGACGGGCCGTCACCTTGCTATGTTCACACCGACCACTGCGTCTGCACAGGTGGCTGAGTCATGCCAGGTGGCTACGTCCAGTCAGGTGTCTGCGTCTGGTCAGCTTGCAGCATCTTGCTCGTGTCGGGAACTCTCCCACCAGACTCTCCTCTGGCACCACCGTCTCGGTCACCCCTCTCTGCCGCGTCTCCGTAACTTGCACTCCCATCTCCTTGTCTCTGGCCTTCCCAGGTCCCTGCCCTCCCTCCCGCGCTCGCCTGCCCCGCCGTGCCTTCCTTGCGTCAAGGGGCAGCAGCACGCCGCTACTCACTCCTCCGAGTTTCCTCTGACCACTGCTCCTTTGCAGACTCTCCACATGCACGTGTGGGGCCCAACCCTCGTCGGTGGGACGGACCAGGAGTGCTACTTCTTGCTGGTTGTTGACGACTACACACACTACACCACTGTCTTCCCCTTGTGGCGCAAGGCGGTCGCCAGCGGTGTTTGATCCCCTGTATCCGTGCTACTCGCCGCCAGCTGCGCAAGCGGTTTCGCCGGGACTTGCCAGTCCTGAGTCTGCACTCTAACAGGGGCGATGAGTTCTCTTCTGGCCTCCTTGAGGAGTGATGTTAAGATGAGGGCATCCACCAGATGTTCACGCTTCCAACCTCTCCTCAGCAGAATGGGATTGCTGAGCATCACATTGGCTTGATCATGGAGGTTGCTCGTACCTCCATGATCCATGCGGCTGCTCCCCATTTTCTGAGGCCGTTTGCGGTCCGGTACGCTGCGCATCAGCTCAACCTCTGGCCCCGTGTTTCTGAGCCAGAGACCTTGCCCACACTCCGGTGGACGGGGAAGGTTGGCGATGCGTCGGCGTTTCGGGTCTGCGGCGCGCTCTCCCTTGTTCGCGATGCCAAAGCGAGCAAGCTCTCCTCTCGCACTCTACGATGCGTCTTCCTTGGCTTCCTCATCGACGCCCCACCGTGGCAGTTCTACCACCCGCGCTCGCGTCAAGTCTTCTCCTCCCAGGACGTCAACTTTGACGAGTCTGTCTGTTTGTACAGTCTACGTCCGCATGCGTCCCACCGGGTCCCCCTAGCGCCTCTCTTCCTGGTACCAGTCCCCCCCCCCGGTAGACCCCCTCCCCCCACAGGGTCCTGCTCCCTCACGTGTGTCTCAGGTAGACCCACCCCCCTTGGTTGAGCCTTTGGAGACCCTGACTCCCCTGGCCCAGCTAAGGGGGGTGACCTTGCCGCTGACGACACGGCGGCACTCGCCGCTCTCCACGCTTGGAGACCCCCCCTGGTTTTCCGCCTCAGCCGTCTTCGCTGCCTCCGCAGCCTGCTGCTGTAGACTCTGGAGCTGAGACTGCTGGTGCTGAGCCTGGGGGTGGTGAGACTGAGGATGAAGGTTGTAGAGGTGTTGCGATTGGAGGTGATGGTTCTGGGGGTGCTGGGATTGGGGGTGTGGACTCTGGGAGTGCTGCGAGTCCTAGTGGCGGTGGAGCTGTGGGTGACCCTGCTGGAGGTACTGCTGGAGGTTCTGCTAGTGCTGGAGGTACGGGATCTGCTGCTGGTGCTGGAGGTGCTGGAGTTGCTAGCTAGTGCTGGAGGTGCTGCTAGTGCTGGAGGTACTGGAGGTACTGCTGGGGGTGCTGGAGCTGCTGGTACTGGAGGTGCTGCTAGTGCTAGAGGTGCTGGAGCTGCTAGTATTGGAGGTGCTGCTAGTGCTAGAGGTGCTGGAGCTGCTAGTGCTAGAGGTGCTGCTGGTGCTGGAGGTGCTGCTGGTGCTGGAGGTACTGGAGGTACTGCTGGAGGTGCTGGAGCTGTTAGTGCTGGAGGAGCTGCTGGTACTGGAGGTACTAGAGTTGCTGCTAGTGCTGGAGGTGCTGGGCCTGCTGCTGCGCTTCGCCACCTTCTCTGTCTTCCGCCAGCTCCTACTGAGTTCCCTGTCGCTGGTACTACTCCACCTATACTGTTCCCACTAGCAGACCTGTCTCAGCCACAGCTACTCCCTCACTCCCCACTACCTACTCCTACTCCTTACACTGCTGTAACAGAGTCCCTGACTAAGCGTTGAGAGCCTGAGACTCGTGCTTCCACTCCTGGACGTCGAGAGCCTGAGACTAGAGCTTCCGTTCCTGCTCATGTTCGTCGTGTGCGTCGTCCTCGTGCTCCAGCTGTCCCAGGCACTCACGATATGACACTCCATCCTTCCTCTGTTCCACAGCGTCTTGTCCTGTCGTTGCCTCCTACGTCTTCTCTTCCTCACGTTGCTGTCCCTCCGTCTGACCTTTCTCGTGCTTCCAGTCCGACTGTCACTCGCTTTCTTGCTACATTTGTGATGGACCCTACGTTCTCGTCTCCTGCTGCGTCTGCCTTAGTCGCTTAGCTAGTTGACTTTGCTGCTGTGTACCGCCTAGACTACCTTGCGAGTCTTGTTTCTGACCCTGACACTGTGTGTCCTCCGTCTGTCGGGGGTGAGGTTGCCCTTCGCTGTGATGTTGTTGAGGACAGATAGGAGGAGATGGAGTGCCTTGCGGCCGCTGCACCTCATCTCACTACCATGCTGCTTGCCCCTGAAGGAGACCCGGATGCACTTGACATCCCCACCCCGCGCTCTTACAGAGAGGCGATCTCGGGTGAGTACTCCTCTCAGTGGCAGAAAGCCATGGATACAGAGATGGCTTCCTAGAAGTCTAAATGCACCTACGTCGACGAGGTTCCCCCACCTGGGGTGAACAACGTCAGTGGCATGTGGATTTTCAGGGTAAAGCGGCCGCCGGGTTCTCCGCCTGCCTTCAAGGCACGCTACGTTGCTCGACGCTTCAGTCAGCATGAGGGGGTCGACTTCTTTCATACCTTCTCCCCCACCCCGAAGATGACCACTCTTCGGGTGTTGCTACACGTTGCAGCACAGCGTGACTACGAGCTGCACTCCCTTGACTTCTCGACAGCTTTCTTGAAGGGCAGCCTTCACGAGGCCATCTGGCTGCGCCGTCCAGAGGGCTTCACTGAGTCGTTTCCTGAGGGTACCCAGTGGAGCCTATGGTAACCAGTCTACAGTCTGCGTCAGGCACCTTGCGAGTGGCAGACACACTGAGGACGACACTTGCGGCCCTTGGGTTTGCTCCTTCGACCGGACCCGTCGCTGTTTCTACGCACTGACACTACCCTGCCGTTGTTCTACATTCTCGTGTACGTTGACGAATTGGTTTTAGCTACTGCTGACACTGAGGCGCTGGCCCTAGTGAAGGCGGAGTTGCAAGAGAGACAAACCTGCACTGACATGGGTGAGGTGCGGAGCTATCTTGGCTTGCAGATCACCCGTGACAGAGCACGGCGCACCATCACCCTGACTCAGTCAAACATGGTGCGCCAGGTCCTCCAGCAATTTGGCTTCCAGTACTCCTCGCCACAGCCCACTCCTCTGTCTACCTGTCACTCGCTTTCAGCTCCACCTCCGGACGAGTCTGTAGAGCCGAGTGGTCCATACCCAGAGCTTGTAGGTTGCCTCATGTACCTGATGGCGTGCACACGACCTGACCTCGCGTACCCTCTTAGCCTCCTGACTCGCTACGTGGCACCTGGTAGATACCAAAAGGTGCAATTTGATGCGACGAAGAGGGTATTGCATTACTTGTGCATTACATTGGGCATGGGGCTCGTTCTTGGAGGACGGGGTTCAGTGATACTCGGGCGCTTCTTGGGCCAATCACCAGGCAACTCGGGTTACACCTTCATTCTTGGCTCTGGTTCTGTCTCGTGGAGGTCCAATCTTTCTTCTTCTGTGCTTGGCTCCAGATGTGAGGCCGAGATCTACGTTGGGGCCATGGCTGCACAGGAGCTACGCTGGCTGACCTACATGCTTACCGACTTGGGGGAGCGGCCTCGTTCTCCTCCAGTTCTGTACGTCGACAACAAGACAATCCTTGCCTTGTGTCACGAGCAGAGACTGGAACACAAAACGAAGCACATTGCTCTTCACTACTTTCTTGCTCAAGATCTGCAGCAGCGTCGTCAGCTCTGCCTTTCCTACGTGGCCTTGCGGGCCAACACTGCTGATATGATCACCAAGGCCTTTGGGTCTGGTGATCATCAGCGTTTCTGCACTACTGGGCTTGTGCCCACTTTGCCTCACCTGCTGGTTGCTTGACTTGCACTCAGGCCCTCAGATTGGCTTGAGGGTCTGCTGATGGATCAGCGTGCCCCGGCCAACGCGGTGTCCAAATCAGCGTTCACGGTTTTTTTATACTGATTTTGCAAGTGTAAAAATCATAAGTAGACTGAATAAATGAAACAAACAATAGCTGGAACACCAGTACAAGGTGTGTGGTGTTGTTGCTGTGCCAGGTTCCAGCGAGGCTAAACACTTTGGCACGCACCTGAAATCTGTGCAGCGCATGCGAAAAAACTCCAAGTGTGTGGGTGGAGTTTTGTGAATCACGAAAAGGTACAGACTGTACACGCGTACCCTATCCTCCCCCTCCCCCCCCCCCCCCCCCCCCCCCATACACGGTCAAGTCCGTTTCAGTGTGACTCACGTCACTATACTGATTCGTCAGTGTTACTTGTACAGCAACACGCAAAATGGTCAGTGTGGCAAGGTAGGTTATACTGAAATTTCAGTGCAAAATTGAAGCATATGCTGAACTTTCAGGGAAAACGAAAATCACAGCTACAAAATCAGCCTAATCAGCGTGTTTTACGCTGATATCTGAGGGCCTGCTTGCACTTGTTGTACAGTGATATATATCTTTATACCTGCTTGTTTACTCTTGCTAGGTTGTGATGTTGTATGCACGTCAGTATGCGCGCATGTCATCCTAACGTCCTGCCGTGTGCTCATGCAATTCGTGCTTGCGTCATTTGCATGAGCATAGATCATTATGCATGGCTGTTGGATTTTATCACCTCTGTGTTTTTCTCCAAGTCTAAATGCTTGATTGCGCAGGAGAAATCCAGAGCTTTCCAACGATACCAAGATCGCCTTATTCCAACCAAGATCGTCCAAGTTACAAGATTTCCAAGATTTGTGAATTATATCTTAATTTGGGATATTGACTAAATTGGGCGATTATTGGGTCATGACTACAAAGGGATCTTTGGTTGGGTGGTTAGGAAGGCAACTTTGACTTTTGGATTGGGGTGGCTAGAAGTTTCTAGCATGGGTTGCAAATGTTGCAACACCTCGGCAAAATCCAATTGGATTGGATTTTGCATGTGACACCTAAAGGACCTCATCATGAGGTTTGCATCTTTGATGCTAGGAAGGTTCCCACCATCTTTCCCAAGCATTTGCAGAGCCGTCTCTCACAAGGTTCTCTTGAAACCCCCCAACTCCTTATCCTATGCTTAATGTTTGTTCTTCCTCCATCTATTCTAGTGAAAGCAGCAGCTACACGTTTTCAGTTGGTTCTCACTCCCTAGACCATGAAATCAAGTAATTCAACTTGCTAGTGCTAGCTAAGACCAGCGCTCACAATCCTACCAAGCGGATTTGCGT